GGGGTTGGTAGGTGGAGTCTAGTCACCGTTTCCAATCTATAAGAAAAGGAAGAAAAAAAAAGAAAGGGTCGCACACTGGAGGACTGAGGGAAGGGTGTTCTTTTCCCAGCCGCCTGTAGCGTTACCTGGCGCTGAGAAGTAAAAACAAACTTAAGATGTGTGTCTGAGGGGACGGTACCAGTCACTGGTAACAAGGACTCGGTGTCCTTGCCGTGGTGTTGGCAGCCTGAGCTCACAGAAACGGGCAGTGGCTGGGGGAGCCCTCGGGGCAGTGGCTGTGCAGCCTCTGAGGAGCTAGAGCTGAAGGGTTGTCACATACATCCTCGTGGAGGCAGTGCTTCCTCGCGTCTGTGGGCCTTGACCTCTGATGAGCTGTCAGCCTTATCTGAGACATAAAACTTCTGCTCTGGTTTCCGTGGCAAAACCCTGCATAGCTTTTGTAATATGGAGCTACAAATTAGTAGCTGGTTGGTGATGATTTTGGGGGTGGAGGCTGAAAGTGTACTGTCATGCTTCACCTCCTTCCTACTCAGTTGACGCTACAGAGAACACCCCTTGTCCCTCAGACATGCTGCCTGCAGTAATTTTAGAAACATGAAATTGTATCTTGGGTGTTTAAGCAGTTCTGTCTTAGTTTCTTGTAGAATTGTCATGTAGACAGAGCCAGCTTCCATATTTTCTTTAATGCTAATGTTACTATTCTTGCTACCTCCTGTCTAATATCTTTTGTGCTGTTCTGGTGATGTATTGTTGAGTCCATATTAGTGTCTTGATCCTGATCTCCAGTAGCATCACATAGAATTCCCCCTGATAATGCATTTTGTTTCTGTCATGCCAATACACTGAATTGGCTCCTTTACACAATACAATTAAAATACAGCAAAATTTCACACTATATCTGTTGTTATGTAATTAAGTGGTTAGACCAGTTCAATCAAGCAAAATAATTTAAAAAAAACCCAAACAAATCACAGCCTTTGTGGAAAATTTAGCAGAGCATTTCACATGTCGGTATACATCTGATATTTCCTTTGCTGGCATCTATTCTTTCCTGAGCCTAGCTCCACTCCTTATGAGCTAAGAGTACAGCAAGAGGCAACAAACCGTATGCATTAAAAATTATATGAATGCAACTTTTTTGCTTTTCCCTCCCATTTTCACACACTTTCTCCCTATTTTGGGGTATAGTTTGCTTGGCCACACTTGCTACATAATTATTTATTTATTGTTATAATTTAATAATAAAGGTATTAATATTTTTCATATGCCAGATGTAGTGATAACAATTTCAGGTATATAATGTTGATTTGTGTGTATGTGTGCATATGGGGATTTTTCATTGTATGATACACTAAGCAAAAAAAGGAGAAAGGAAAGCAAAGTGGGGAAATAGAAATGGCCTTCTTTTGGAGGATATTTTTCATTAGGTAATTTTTTCTTCTTTTTTTTCTTTTAGACAAATGAAAATGAGACCTGGAGAGGTCCTTATAGACTGCTTAGAGTCAGTTGAAGATACCAAAGGAAACAATGGAGACAGAGGTAACTGCATACTCAGGGAAATGGTAAACTTTCTAATATTTAACCTGTGTAGGTTCATGAAAGCCCTGTCTGGTTTCCACTGAACTGGGTGTCAGTGGTCTGTTGCAGAAAATAGATCCTGCCTGTTTCACAGATCTGTCTCCCCTTGGAGTATTTTCAAATAGGATCTCTTGTTCGAAGTTATAGGAAGGTGATAATCTTGTCTCAGAATTTGTTTAGAATTGAAACCCTTGTAAGAATAATCCATTTATAAACATTGTGGTGGTCTTCTGCTGTAATCCTGTTTAATGCTTAGTTTTTCCTAACCTGGTTTAAACTGAATCAGTAAGGAATATATATATAGTGTGCAAGGGCATAAAGCTGCCAGCATGCTGAGATGAGCCTTCCTGGGGTTGGATGTGCTGCTGTACAGGGTACAGAATCAAATAAATTTGCATGTGACATAAAGGGGTGAGGTTATTCATGAAGACAGCTGCGATAGTTAACTCACTGCCTTCCCCTTCTCCTCCCCAGAGCAGTTCTGCACTCATTGTGTCTCCTCATTTTTGCCATAGGCAGGTGGATGTGAAATCAGTAACTGTTCTTGGTTTGGTTTTGAGGAATGCTGGTATATATTAGAAGTTGTTTCATTTGTTCCTTGCTGGATTTTCTCTCCTAGCATTCAAAAAAAAAAAGTAGTTAGTGATTTTTCTGCTGCAGTGTCCTGTGCTTTTTCTTCTTTTTCCTATCAAGGGGAAGAAATATTCTGGTGTTTCAAAAATAGTGGTAAATATGTACCACAGAATGGAACATTTAATTTAACGGAAGTTATTCGGATTAAAAATATCTACACTCTTTATTTCCAGGTAGACTGCTTGTGACAAATTTGCGGATTATTTGGCGCTCATTGTCATTGCCCAGAGTCAATCTCTGTAAGTATCATCTCCTGTTAAACAACTGCAAATTTTGTGTTTCCTTTGTGGTGGCATGCTACTCTCTCACAGTAGTATTGATTACAGTACAGAATAGTAAAGTATAGTTCTGTTGCTCTGTAAAGTCTGAAATAAACTGTTACTAATGAATCTATTTGTAATATAGGAATAATTCATAGTGAAGTATTAATATTCAATGTTAATTTCTCAGAACAGAAGTGGAAGAGTACTTCAGTCATATTTTTCATTTGGCCTATGTGGGATTCATTTGTTTTTCTAGAAAGAAACAAAAGTTTAAGTTTCTTCACACCTTGCTTTACTTGTACCTCTTTGCCACCTGTTTATTCACATTCTGTATTGTCCTACAGTTTTTATTCCCCATAGGTACCTGCCTTTCCACATTTACTATTGTAAGCTCTGAATAAATTTCTGATTTTAACTGTATGAGTAGCTAGCAGGGCTACTCATATTTAATTTAATTTGTTGAAACAGGGGCAGGATGCACTTACGTTGTACCCAAATTATTTCCAGTGCTCAGTTCCCAATAGCCAGTCAATCTTGAAAGTCTATGTTTCGTTCATAATGTATATAAGCTTGTGCCCTCTGCCTGTTTGCTCTTCTGCATTTGCTATCTCATACATGCACACACAGTGCTACTTTTATAGGTATTTATAAAATTAAATTGTTTGCTTATGTATTTAAGTTTTAGAATAGACCTTTTTCGAGGAGATCACAAAGAAACTTATGGAGCAGTTCAGCTGTATAGAAGCTCAAAGAAGTATAACCTATAGCTTTTAGAGTTTAAAATATTCTCTAGCTTTCAAGATAATGCATTATTTCTTACATTAAGGGAATATATAGACAAAAAAAATATTTTATTGGATGCCATTTTTGACCATTGCTGTTTCTTTTAGTTTTAGAAAATTTCTCATAAGCAACCTAGGAAATAGTCTCTTTCTAGTATTTTCATAAGTATTAATTCCGTAAAGACTGAATATTCTTATCTACATAACTACTGCCACATCTGAGCTTTTGGAAAAGCAGAATCTTCCCAAAGCAAATTCTAGTTCTCCTTTGATTATTTTTTTTGGAACCTGGCTGAGCTGCTGTTCGTGTCAGTAGCAGGATTGTCATTGACATCCAGATTTAGCCTAGCACCATTTTAGTGCATCTGTTTGTTTTAGGAAGAATGGCTGGGATTGTTTCTGGTTTTATTTTGTATCAGCACTACTGTAGAAGAGGCAAAGTAAAATTTATAACTGTTTTTTCCTCTTCTTTTTGTTTCTTCTTCACTTATACTTTCCATTTTGCTGCTTTTTTTCTTTGTCATCTCATTAGCTCTTCTACAAAGTACTATATCAATGCAGAAATTTTTATTTATAAGGGTAAAATTTACAAGCAACATCATGATGAAACAGACCTTCTTGAGGCAACAGTCAAACGCTGAAACAAGGAAATTCTGATTAGATATTAGGAGAAAAACGTTCACAATGATGACAGTCAAACAGTGGAACAGGCTCCTAGAGCGGTTGTAGAATCTCCTTGTTTGGAAATACTCAAAACTCAGTTGGAGAGTACCCTGAGCAGCCAGATGGAGTTGGTCCTGCTTTGAGAAGACCATTGGACCAGACAACCTCCCCAAGTCCTTTCCAGCTTAAATTAGTCTCTAATTTTTTGATGAGGGCCAAGACCATTAACCACAATGTGTCATTCTCACAACTAGCATCCAAAGCTGTGCTACAAAATTCAATATTATACTTCGTAGTTTTGACTATTATTTTTTCTCGTTCTCAAAACTGTTCTTTTTTTTGTTCTCCCCTAACTTTTAGCTGTTGGTTACAACTGCATTATAAATATAACTACAAGAACTGCCAACTCAGTAAGTTTCAAAAAATACTTTTTAAAATAATAAAAGAAGCTGTAATTCATTGTTTATACTTATTGCACTATATCAACAATAATCTGAAAGTTTACTTGCAAGAACAGTAGTAGAATAATAATGGAAATTTAGCTTTCAAAGTTGAGAGTGTTTTACATTTCTATAGGAGTGTGTTTTTAGTCAGTTTCCTAAGGCAGTAAAACTCATGTAGTCATACTGTTTGGTGATTCTTCTGCCCTCACATGTTGGCTCATTGTGTAAATTTAACAAAGGTCTAGAGAGGCACTAATTTTGTGCAAGAAAGCTCTCAAATACGTAGCCTGAATTACATGCAACTGTGAAGCCGTTTGTTTGGCTTGGAGCAAAGAACTAGCAGGGAGATTATGTAGATTCCTCGGGCAGCCACATGGTAACAAAGCCAAAAATACTGTTTCAGTCATGATATTGCAAATGTATAGGAGTCAAGCTTCATTAGTTCTACTGTTGATGGAATTGCTAATTTCTCCAAAAGAACTGAGTTCAGTTGAAGATAGCAGTAGATCAGTGGTAGAATCAAGATTACACCTTCAGATATACTATTTAGAACAAGAATTTAGAAAATATGTCAAGATTATTTATTGCCTGTACAGTCAAGCTACTGTATAGTTAAAATGTTAAATTTCATTTTTTCCTTACAGAAATTACGAGGGCAGACAGAAGCTCTGTATATATTGACTAAATGTAACAATACGCGATTTGAGTTCATATTTACCAATGTTGTCCCCGGGAGTCCCAGACTCTTCACTTCAGTTATTGCTGTACACAGGTAGCATACTTAAAATAGTGGTTGGTCATTTACAAAATTCAATGAATCAAATGTGTGGGATTACTACTGCTGATAGGCCGAGTATATAACTGCCCATATTTAACATTCAGAAAAATTTCCCAAAAGAAGAGAACACAATCTCTGGAAGGAAGGGAGAGAATGATCACAAATTCTGGTAGATAACTGTGCGTAATGAAAATTAATGTGTATTAATACCAATCATTGATGTCAGTTCATACACATTGTGTGTATAAACTATCTGAACAAATAAAAGTACAAAAGAGCTAATTTCAGTGTGCATTTTCTATCTATAATTTCTGTCTATAATTATTTCCCATAATTTTGGACCATGTAACGGAAATGAGGAGTTAAATCCTGGTCAAAACTCTAGTTGACTACAAAACAGAGGATGTTTCCCACCATTCCCATCTGCATGAATGTGTGCATAATACATTACCATAGGTTTCTATTTAAGAGCTATGGAATACTGACGTATGTATATTGGATGTTTGTGACTTAGCTGGCACTGAAAAATAAAGGATTCTTGATGTCCATACTACGTATAACATGGGACCCAAAGACTTACGCTTTGCAGTAGAGGCTGGGAGATGAATATCTTAAGGAAAAGAAGGAAATAGTATACACATGAACAATACCGGAGATCAAAACAGATGTCAAAAAAAACCTTTAAGTTTAAAGATAACTTCATTAAGGAAAGCTGAAATATAATGGTTTACATTGATGAAGTTTTAATAGTACTCTCATTTTTGTGCAACATGGTGATAAGAAAAGTTGAAAATATACAACATTTCATATTGGTGCTAAAACAAACAGTAAAGATAGTAGAAAACACTGAAATGGTAACATGTATTTTTTATTTTTTGCAGAGCTTATGAAACTTCTAAAATGTATCGTGATCTGAAGCTGAGAAGTGCATTGATTCAAAACAAGCAACTGAGATTATTACCACAAGAACAAATATATGATAAAATCAATGGAGTTTGGAATTTATCAAGTGACCAGGTATAGTGAAAAATGAGACTGCGTTGACTACAGCAAAGTTAAAATGTTTTGGCTTTCATCTAGCAATTGTACTACTATAGTTTTGAAACCTCAAAGGAATTACCCTTAATTTAGTTTATCAGTTGATGCATGCGGAGAAGCTGATCCCATATATTTGCTAATCAGTACAACAAAGTCTTTTTTTGGCAACCTGAAGTCTACATGACTCGGCTAATATGCAAGGAACTAGATATACAGTTCCTGGTAAAAAGGTATACTTAAGAGTCTAAAGCTCTGTATCATCCTGAAAGACAATCATGTTGTTTCCAAAGTGTTCTGCTGAATATTTGTATGTTCATGTGCAGCTTTGACTACAGTGTAAGACTATATTGCCTTTTGATTACTGGAAATTGAAAATATTGGAATAGGAATCTGTGTCTTAAAACATGGAAAAATAAAGACTTTAAGGAAAAAATAGAAAACATTTCTATTATTTTACAGGGCATTAGTAGCAAGTATTTCCCAGAGCCATGAAACAAAATGGGAGCTGTTATTTCTGTCTGTGCAATTTTAGTCCAGAATGGAAACAGGATCCATCCTGACAAGCTAAAAAGTTCTTTCTTCTACATGCCCTTGGCACACATCTCCACAATTGCCTAAGTTTAACCCACGTGCCATTATGCTTAACACTATATGCCAATTCCAGATCTGTACAGTTAAGAACGCTCTCAGATGCTTCATGTATTCCCATGAGGTCTGCTGTGCTGTGATTTGATCCTGCTTTGCTGCAGTAATAGGTACTCCCAGCTATTTTCACCACTCGGGTGCTGTATCCTTTAAAGATTGGATTTTGCTTCCTTGCAATCAGTAGAAGCGTTTTGACTGGTTTTGGTGGGAAAGTATCAAGCTTTTATTGAATTAAATATGAAGCTATATCCTGGTTGTGTTTAAATGGATAACAGTAATCATCGTGTTTGGAAAAAAGGCTCTATACTTCAAAGCAGTTCTAACATACCTTTTCTTTAATAGGGAAATTTGGGAACTTTTTTTATTACTAATGTGAGAATAGTTTGGCATGCAAATATGAATGACAGCTTTAATGTCAGCATACCATTTCTACAAATTGTAAGTATCTTAAAACAACCATTTTCCAAATGAAATGGCATAAGTTCAAGGCTTCAGTTAACACGCCCAGCTCACCAAAATTAGTATTTCATGTCCCACAGTCAGGGAGGGATTTAGTCTTACCAGCATCAACCACAGGGTAGATTTTTTTTCTTTTCTGTCCAGATTAATTGTGGGCTTTCACAGGCAGATGATTGAAAATGGCTTGTATTTCCAATTTTCAAACTATTTACTATAATGTTTCATGCCACTTACATACACTGGGATTAATGATCGTGTGAACCTGATGTTCAGAAATGAACTGTTACTGTTGTTACCACTTCTGATAAAAACACTTTTCCTGGAGGTTCAGGGGTTCAGATTTGTAATGGTAAATGGGAGGGAATGGTGGTAGCCAAGCTTCCAGAACCAGTAATTGTAATTGGTACAGGGCGGGGAAGAGAAAAATTTAAAAATAGATAAAGGAGATTTTTATCAAGTAATTCCAAAATTTTTAACAGTTTTTACCTCTTTACCATTAGCGTTCAATAAAAATAAGAGACTCAAAGTTTGGCTTGGCACTTGTGATAGAGAGTTCTCAGCAGGTAAGAAGCTTTAATAGCCTTCTTTCATTGGTTACATTTTTATATATAATAGTTCTCTAATTCTGAAATGTTACAGGGCTATTTTAAGGTACTCGGAGTGTTCCTTCTGTGTGGCCTTTTGAACACAACTTTTAAGAAGTCCTCTTGCACTGCTTAAAATGTTTGTGTGTTAAGGTCAATATGGCTACTGTGAGATATGGTTTCTCTAAGCGAAGCAACAATAGGCCAGCATGACTAGTTAAAATAAAGTAAAATAACTGTTAAAAGCAGTGTCTTCTGACAGGTTATCTTTGGGATCTAATTACTTCTGTATTTAATTAAGATCACTGTTTTTAATCTTTTTCACTTGTGTATCTGTTTTACTGTAAGAGACAAAATTATTTTTCTTCAATTTGATCTTAATCAGAAATGCTTTTAATGGCGATTTTTTTTTTAAAGTTCAACTAACTTTATTTACTGTATCTGAAAGCTTCTTTAATAACAACATCAAGATCTAACAGACTAAACATTTGCTGAGTAGCTAGGAATAAATCATTAATATTCCTTCTGAATTTCTCCCACCCTTTTGTTTTTCTATGTAAGAAGTTTGTTCCCCATTTGTATAATGGGCTAACAGTTAAAAGCTTATTTACCTCATAGAGAAACATTGTCATTGTTTTTATTTCACCCATGGTTTAAATGGCAGAATAAAAATTAAATTATACCAAAATACAGATAATGTTCTGTGAGCAAACTGAAATTTGCTATCATTAAACTGCAAATCCCTATCAAGGGGAAAAAGTTATTTAAATAATAAGCAACACTAATAAATATATGTCGTCTTTTTTCTTTATATAGAGTGGAGGATATGTACTTGGTTTTAAAATAGACCCTGTGGAGAAACTACAGGAGGCAGTGAAAGAAATTAATTCACTTCACAGAGTTTATTCAGCTAACCCTATATTTGGAGTGGATTATGAAATGGAAGAAAAGGTACTCCACTCATTTATTTTAAATTAGATACAATATTGTGTTAACAGCAGTAATAAAAATATATTAAACATATTAGATATGTGGATTTACTTACTTCAGTGTTTTAATTTGCAGCCTCAACCTCTTGAAGACCTAACAGTGGAGCAGGTTCAAGATGATGTGGAAATAGAATCTGATGAACATACAGATGCTTTTGTGGTAAGCTACTCCACAGAAAACTAAAAAATAAAATAATTCTTGTTTGGTTATTCAAACGTAACCGATGTACAGCTGTAAACCTCTGTTAAAGATAAGCTACAACTGAACTTCCTATATTTAAAACACACCTACACGCCTTTTATTCAAAATTGTGATTACTACAGGAATTTACTCTGTGTATAGATTTTTAACTTAAGAACAAACTATTATTCAAAATAAATAGTAGTAGATATTTAAAGTAATAGTTGCATGTAGTTTCTCAACACATTAAGATCAGGAATAGCTTGAAAACCAGCAGTACAGTATATTCAAATACATTATATTAAAACTAGTCTTCCTTCCCTTAGAGCAGATTAATAGGTGCTGATATCTGTACGCTCAACATTCATGTAAGATTCAAACTTGAAAGATTTTTAGAAAGGCAGCAATAATTTTGAGTCACTCCTGACAACCTTTGCATTCCTGATAACACCAGTTTAGAAAACTCTATTAATATCTGTCTCCCAGTATTTCAGGAAAATTGACTTTTAAATGCATTAGGTTGCTTGATGACCTTCTTTCTAGGAATTTCCAAATTTACTGTGCAACCCAATAACACCTGGCTGCATGATTGACTGCACAGGTAGACTGCACATGTTTTCAAGTGCTAGCCTTGACACATTGACAACTGACATGTTTTCTTAATTCATCTCTGAAATTTGGTAAATTAGCAGTGCTACCACCAATCTTATTTCCACCTTCTTTTCTTTTGCTATCATTTACTGATGCAGATAAGGTCTTTTCTCTTCCTTTCCCTCCTTTTTCCTCGCTTTTTGCCTTTTTTTTCTTTCCAGTTTTGCATATTTTTGTTCAGTCTTCAACATAGTTGAAGACCTACCTTTTCCTTAAAGGTAGATTCTGTTTGCTGTATTGGTGCCTTTGTCACCTGGATTAAATAGCTGTGCTTTGCATATTCTAAAAGAAAAACTGGAAGCTGTAAATGATTAGAAGGTGGTGGCTATAGGAGACATAGATCGTCCAGGACCCAAGGAGCGGCTCCACACCAATATTCCATGACACTTGATGACTGCGATGCTGTTCTGTAGAGTCTTGTATAGCTTGAGATCCAGCTGAGCAGGAAAACGCTTTCTTTGCTGCCCCTCACCATAGGGGCATAGGGAGCAGACGGAGCAAGATCAGGCTCTTTTTGGTAAATACGAAGATCTAGAGCCCGCCGGTTCAGAGACTTGTAGAGCTGTGGATATTTTCAGAGATCTGGTTTCCTGAAGAGTTTGAGCCTTGATTTCCATACACACAGAATGGGAAAGATTGTATCTCTTTCCTAGATCTCTGTCTGAGAGTAGAAAAATGTGGTTAGTTGTTCAGTTACTCTGTGTTCATTTCTTAGATTGAGTATGATGTTAACTGAATTTTGATATTATTTACACATTTTAAGTTAGTTTTTGAAATTGAATAATAAATGTTGCGGCACAAGGCAGAAAATGCTAGGATGCTGTCAGTTTGCCTTCATATTAACATTTTATTCCGTTGTCAGTGTAACAAATGTAATATGAAAATTTTACCATTTAAAAATCTTTGTTTATTATGAGGAAAATTCAAAGATTGGTATTTAATGAAAAATAACATAATACCAACTCCTGCTAGAACCCTTTTGTAAATTATTTCAACATAGAAAAAACTGATCTTGTTTACAAAACAAAAATAAAAACCATACAGACTGGTTTGTTGAAGAAAACTTATCAAATATGGTTTTGACCCCAAGGAATTACTAGCAGATTTGTTTTTAGACTTTTTTCCCCCAAGGTTGCGAGTTCTTTCTTTCTTTCTTTTGCAGGCTTATTTTGCTGATGAAAACAAGGTAAGAACATCTTTTTTCATACTGTCAAATTCATGTTGTTAAAGTGGGATAATAAAATTTAAAAGTACCTTCTGCTTTATTTTATTTTCTCTCATATCTTGTGCATTCAAAAAAGCAACATGATCGGGAGCCTGTTTTTTCAGAAGAACTAGGACTTGCAATAGAGAAGCTAAAGGATGGATTCACACTCCAGGGACTCTGGGAAGTAATGACCTGATTTAGATTGGCATGCATTTGTTTCCTAAGCAAGGAAAGACTCTCAGTTCTTACTGGGCTTGTGAGATCTGTAGAAGATAATTTAGAAATACCAGAGTAGCAGAGAAAGAACATGCCAAAGCTAAAGAGCAGGCAAATATTAGATAATATGCCCTCAGGATATGTCATAAAGGAAAGATTATTCAAAACCCTTGTATGTGTAAAAGCTTTGTATTTATTACATTGTTTCTGTAAGTCGTGGGAGGCCAACCAATATCTAATATAAGAAGGGGCGGGGCCCCAGCTGCTAGTGGAAGCCCTGCCCCCTGCAGGGAAGCCCCAGGAGTCCCGCCCTTCCTCTGGTAGATGGTGGATCCAAGAAGTCCCTCCCCACTACATGCATGGCAGCTGCCATTTTATTTCAGCCACCATTATGTAAAATGTCATACCCCGCGTTTTCATACTGCTTTCTGATTGTCTGACTGTGGGTTTTGACACACTCATACCCCTGGTGTTTTCAGGTGTGTGATTGGCAGGACCAGGGACCCCATCCTGCTTCCCCCAGAAGGTTGTCAGAGCAGGAAGCCCCCTCCCCTAAGAACACAGGGTCTGCCATGGTGTTTCAGCCACCATTTATGGCAGGTAGCCAACATTTTTTTTTTTACAACTTCATGACCCATGTGTTTACATACTGCCCTGTGATTGGCTGCCAGGACCAGCCACTGCCTCCCATTTTACCTGGAAGTATGTCAGAAAAGGAAGCCTCTCTTCCTATGTACACAGAGACCACCATTTGAGATAGGGCAGTGTGTGGTATATAGTTTGATGCTCAGTGTGAAGTATTCATGTATTTATATACAGTGATGTACTTTGCCATAATGATTATATCTAAATCAAATTTCCTAACTTGTTTAATGTTGTGCAACATAGAAATATCATCATATGCAGAACATTTTCTGTCTATGCATATTGGCTGTGTCATTGCAGTACTGCTGTGTTACTGATAACTTTGACTGTTCCAAATATTAGTTTTCATATCTTATAATTTTGTTAAATTATGAGACATACCATCAGCCCATATCATTCCAGGTACTTAATTGTAATCCAGATATCCTCATACAGTTTTTCTTTTTTTTTTTTTTTTTTGGCCAGAGCACTTTTTTTAAGGAATGATCTAGAAAAAAGTGCACACACAAATAGCTTCTGTGGCTGAGTCATTAGACCTTTATGATGTTATGTGTTAGAGAGAAATGAGTCATTTATTGTTTAAAGGAAGATGCAGCTGTTACGTTTTCTAGTGAGATAAGACCTCTGCGCTATTTTCTATAAGTAGAAAAAGTCAAATGAGCTCTCCTCTCAGCTGTTGTTTTAGCAGCTGTTATAGTAAAGTAACTGTGGTGTGAATATAATTGTGGTGTTTGTAGAAAATCTTTCAGGTGTATATTTTAATGAAATACTACCTATATTGAAAAGCAATCATGATTTCAAAAAATGTTATACCTCATTGTAGATCTTGCGTTCAAATAGTTGTGTTTTGATCCTGTTTCCATTATATTCAAAGAACATTTTACCATATGGATAAAAAGCATTCTCTGTATGGGCAAAATACAGTCCTTCATCTAAGGTACATTAAACAACTTAAAATTTCAAATTTGCTTTGGAACTGTATTACCACCTTTAATAAAAATTTCAATGTTCCCAGTCTAAATTGTGAAATCTTCAACATATATGCATAATTCTAAATTCACTTTTCAAACTACTTGTCTGATTTGGGGCTTTTGTAGTTTAAATTCAGAATTTTGTAGGGTTTTGAAATTACACATCCATTAAATAATGTTAATATGGTGGATTACATGTTTTTCATTCTCTGTTCTACCTTTCCTATGTACTGTTTTTGGTTTAGTTTAACAGCAGTTAACACCATTTCTAGTACAGTCGAATTTAAAAGGATTGATCATGTCTACAGGTTATCTGAAATGAAGAATGGTGTTTATTAAGGGGGGGTACAGACTTCATTTTAAATTATTTTTAAAAGCAGAACTTTACCTGAATAATGTATATTTTATGTCTAAACAGTAGGGTTTTGTTTACAAATAAATACAACCAAATGGATATTAAGAAGAAGCTCAAAATTAATTTCAAAGTCTTAATATCTGAAGAGATTGCAGATGTGATATGTGTATGTAAAAAAAATAATCTTCGAGCATAGATAATTGATGCAAAGTTCTGGAGTTTTTTAATATCTTTATGACTGCAGCAATGAGATGTATTAAGCAACTCTAAAAAAGCGAACAGTAGTTGCAGCTAACAACTTGATTAATAATATTTCTATTTCAGAATATTTGGTAACATGTATATTTACAATGTTGCTCATATCTGTCTCACTGAGGGTCAGATTGTGCTGTCCTTACTCATGTCAAATAATTTCTTACATCGCACCTAATCTTATTGATTCAATGTGGAGAATGATGGCAAAACCTGACCATAGTGACTAAAAGCAACAGTTGCTTCTTTCAGTCTTTGACAGCTGCGAGAGCAACTCTTTTTTTCCAAACCATCCATCCTAAATTCCGACCTGTAAGAGTATGTACCTATATTTAGCTAGCGAGATTAAGTTGCAGAGGCCTCAGGCAGGGCAAAGCACATTGGTCTGTCCTTTTTACAGACAGACCTTTGGGCAGACAACAGCTAAAGCTTTCTGCTCCCTCCCCTTTCCCAAGTATTTGCGAAATGGATTCCCAAAGGGAACTCACTGAAGAGCTCAGACTTTACCAATCCACCCTTCTTCAGGATGGCCTCAAGGAACTCCTTGAAGAGAAAAAGTTTATAGATTGCTCTCTAAAAGCTGGTGACAGAAGCCTGCCTTGCCACAGATTGATTCTGTCGGCATGTAGCCCTTATTTTCGTGAGTATTTCTTATCCGAGCAAAATGAAGAGAAAAAGAAGGAGGTAGTTCTAGATAATGTTGACCCCAACATCCTGGATATGATTGTCAAATACCTTTATTCAGCAAGTATTGATCTGAATGATTCTAACGTGCAAGATATTTTTGCTTTGGCCAGTCGCTTTCAGATCCCTTCTGTATTCACTGTGTGCGTCTCCTATCTTCAGAAGAGGCTTGCTGTTGGTAACTGTCTGGCCATCCTTCGATTAGGTGTTCTGCTTGATTGCCCAAGACTTGCATTTTCTGCCCGTGATTTTGTTTCAGATCATTTTGTGCAGATCTGCAAAGAAGAGGACTTCATGCAGCTTGCCCCGCATGAACTTATTTCAGTTATTTCACCTGACAGCTTAAATGTAGAGAAGGAAGAACTGGTATTTGAAGCAGTAATGAGATGGGTCCGAACAGACAAGGAGAACAGAGTAAAGAGCCTGGGGGAAATTTTTGACTGCATACGTTTTCGTCTTATGCCAGAAAAATATTTCAAAGAACATGTTGAGAAGGATGATATAATTAAAAGCAACTCAGACCTTCAGAAAAAAGTAAAGATTGTTAAGGATGCTTTTGCTGGAAAACTGCCTGACTCTAGCAAAAGTACAGAAAAGTCAACCAAAGGGGAGGTGAATGGCGATGTAGGAGATGAAGATTTACTGCCTGGCTACCTAAATGACCTTCCCAGGCACGGCATGTTTGTCAAAGACCTAATTCTTCTGGTTAATGACACTGCTGCAGTAGCTTATGATCCTCTTGAAAACGAATGCTACCTAGCAGCCCTGGCAGAACAGATTCCCAGAAATCATTCCAGTATAGTCACCAAACAAAATCAGGTCTACATTGTTGGAGGACTGTATGTGGAAGAGGAGAACAAGGATCAGCCTTTCCAGTCATACTTCTTCCAGGTATAAGCTTTATAATTGTTGGTGCAATAATAGGTGCATATAAGAGTTACTGAAAAGTATTCTGAGTCTATGCAAGTGAGTTGTCTAGTGTCTCTGTACGGTCGATGGAGAGCTATTCCTGTCTCAGAGAGATCAATGAAACCAAGGGACTTGCATCTCCTCTTTCAAGATCAAGCCCCTGGTGAGATCTCAGAAAAGATTAAAAGGATTAGTATATTATATCTAGGCACCGGCTTTCATTGTTTAAGGCCCAGATTTTTCATGGTACAGATGCCTAAATTTAAGCCTAATAATATTTTTGTAAAATATTTTGTGAATTTCTGTTAACTTCCATGAAAGTTGAGTGCTTAGCTGCTTTAGGTCTAATGAGCTGTCTTTCTTTTTTTGCATCTGAAATATTTTTTGACAGCAGTAATGTGCATATTTTAAATGCCACTTTTGTCACTAAAATTCCAGAAGTCCTTTTGTCACGTCTACATTTGAAAACCTAAGGGTGTTCTAAAATAAGTAATGTAGAGGTAGAAGGTTGTTTTCTTGGCAAACTGTCAACGTCAGTACACTAAATACCATGTTTCAACCGAGAGTGTAATTTTATATCTTTGTAAATCTGTATAAATATAAGGCTGATTAATACAAACTGTAACTTCACAACGTATTTCAGAAAAATTAGCAAAAATACAATTTGGCATGCTTACACCATAAACTAATTCTGTTGTGTTTTTAGCTACCTGGCCATATGCTTTGGGGGATATTTAAACTATCATCTATCTCATGATGAATTATGCAATATGCTGCTGGCCATGTCCTGTCTTTAGGCACATTGGCCTAGAAGAGTGAAAGTAGGTCCTGTTTCAATATAAAATGAAGCAGAGTGATAAGCAGTGATAGAATTTTAAAGCCTTCAGATATTAAAAAGTGCAAATATTAAGTGTTTATAGGAGTATGGCTCACTGTGACTTCACACATAATGAAAGAGTTGGTTTCAGGCATTTGTTGTATCTATGAGAGGGAAGTCTTAGTTTGCTAGAGGGATTAGCACTGTTTCATTTCCTTATGTAGATGTAAAACACTAATCACTGAAGTGCAAAACTTGTTACAGAAATATTCTTCTAATAGAAATGTGTTGATGTCATAATGTATATAATGTAGAACTGAACAGTCTAAGTCTCAGGCTACTAGAAAGGGGCCTCTGAAAAACTAAACCTCAAGACTGATATTAAAAATTGATGAAGTTTTCAGAATCCTACTTTATATGTCTACATCCATTTCCTGAAGTCCTCCTCTCTCGCTTGTCATCTTTAATTTTGCTTGCTGCTGCAACTGCCTATAGTTAAAATACTGTCTGCGTTACCCATGTGGCTGTTGTTCCCTCTAAAATGTTAATGTGGTGCCAAACCAATTTTCACTTACTGATCTCCCTTTCCCCACCAGTGAAGGACCTGTTACCATTTGGTTTGGTAGCTAGCAACCCAGGAGAACACAAGGCTGCCACTGGCTCAAAAATGCATGACTAGTTTATGTCCTATCATCAGTAGATATGTCGTCTTCAAGACTGATTCACTAAGCATGCTGTGATCTGTGATGAGTACGTCTTCTCCTCATTACGCCACACAGATCCAGCTACTGGGGCAATCCGTGTCCATGAACTAAATTTCACTGTTGCAATAAAACTTCCTGTCCAGTAGGGGTGGTCTTAAATTTGGGAGACGCATTTTAGCATGGAGACCTTGACTGTGGAACATACTTCTGGAAAAAGGATGTCACTGCGCTAAACCCGGATCTGATTACTTTGACTGAACTTTCTCTTGCTTTCTATCAAATGCCTTTATACTCATGCAAACTTACATTTTACCTTCCCGTCCTGTACATCGTGAAGCAAATCTATATGCAACAGAAGAGAGAAGATACTCTTTTTGAATGTTAGAGAGCATTCAGGTTCAACTGTAAGTTCCCAGATCAAAACAAAAATTAAGCACCACAGTTCTAGGAAAATATTGTTTTCGTTTGTTTGGTTTTTTTTTCTTCTGTCCTCCTTCTGCTGCTTCTCCTTAGGTGTTTTCAGTGTACTGGATGTGAATTGAGACAGCCATGGGACTACTTCTGTAGGGATGACATCGATATTATTGCCAATGGAGCTGCACTGCCTGCCTTTTTTGCTTAGGAGTGAAGTCTTTATTCATTGTGCCTTCAGAGATCTCAGGAGCTTTTGAGGGTATTTGTGATGAAATACCACCTCTTTTGCTCTAGGGATTGCAGAAGAAACATCTGTGCCATTTGCCATGTAATATTTCCTGATCATTAAGACGAACGGTGTGAGGATATCTGGCATCTCTCATTGTGGCGATGAGCACAAATGGCTAAATGTATAGGTGTGGAATGGCAGGAGTGTCTACTCCCTTCAGGCAGGAAGAAGAAGAATTTGTTCTTTCCAACATGTGATAGGGAACCCAGAGAGTGCAGGGACCTTCAAACAAGGAAGAGGAGCTTAATAAAGAGGCAAAGAAACTCTGTGAGGATGAGTGAGGGTGGGCAGATGCAAAGAGAGCTGTGTGGCATTGACTGCTACATCTCAGCACCATGAAGCATGGGTGGGTAGAAGTCATCATGCATTAGCTGCACTGAGGGAAGGGTAGATTGTTCAGGCAAGCAGATGAGCTGTTGAGAGACACTGAGTGCAATTAGATTAATTTTGTGGAACAATGTTCGTTGTGTGAATTTTTACTATTTGCCTTTCCTAACACTTCCTGTTCTGATGCTCTTTCAGCTGGATAGCATCGCTGGTGAGTGGGTTGCCCTTCCTCCACTGCCATCAGCCAGGTGTCTCTTCGGGCTGGGAGAGTCAGACAGCAAGATCTATGTAATTGCAGGCAAGGACCTTCGGACTGAGGAGTCTCTAGATTCAGTATTGTGCTATGATCCTGTGTATGTTTGAAACTTAATTATGCCCACTGAGGACATGTAAATAGCCCATTGTTAGTTGAAAGAGCCTAACGGTGATATTCTTCTTGTTCCAGGGCAATGAAATGGGGTGAGATCAAAAAACTACCCATCAAAGTATATGGCCATGCTACTGTCTCAAACAATGGATTGATATATTGTCTTGGAGGAAAAACTGATGATAAGTGAGTCTCTAAGTCTTTTCGTGACAATTTATAACATTATTTGGTTGGTCCTTTGTAGATTATATGTCCTCTCACTCAGAAATCAGGGTTTCCCTTTTTTACATCTCTGGATTAAGGTTGCTAACAATTTGGCAGAGGGGAACACATTATGGTATATAAGATATCTTTTTCATGATAAGGTAAAATTGCGTATAAATTGTAATCCCAACTAGTTATTTTAATGATCGTACTCACTTCCAAGGCAAATTTTAATTACATTGCAGACACATTAGTATATACAGCTATGAGGACCCTCACTGAAAGTGTTATTTCCTTCCAGATAGAAATACTTAGGTGCCATGGAATTACTCTGTCAGTTTTTGCAATTTTCTCACCTGTGATGCCTGTTATACCTTAATGGGTATAACATTAGGAAAATTGAAGTTTTCACTCACACTGAGCATGTGGTGGTAATTTTTCAGTGTTTGTATAGGGGACATTTAAGACACAAGCTTGTCAAATCAGCCAAAACAGCAGCATAAGCTTTCTTTTATAACCTTTGACATACATTCCTCCACAAACCCAACTGAATAGAATACGCTGGGAAAGGACGTTGTCTTTCTCCTATATCGTACAGTGAAATTGCTGCCCTGAATAAGCAGCATTTAACATTGGATTTAGTTCTATGGATGTGATTAGTGCTTTGTAGCCATGCAAAGATTCCCAGATTAGATACAAGAAAGGATCTCACGGAGAGGAAAGAGGTGTTATACATAAACCCACACAATCCACCTCAACTAGGTCTCACTTGGAACAAGCCAAGAGTTCATTAGAAATGATCACAGCTTTTCTTTTTCCTCCCCAGGAAATGCACTAATAGACTATTTGTATACAATCCAAAGAAAGGAGACTGGAGAGACCTGGCTCCAATGAAAGTGGCTCGCTCAATGTTTGGAACGGCTATCCATAAGGGCAAGATTGTCATTGCAGGTGGTGTCACTGAAGAAGGCCTTACTGCATCTGTTGAAGCTTTTGATCTGACCACCAATAAGTGAGTGCAATATTCAAGCTATTTTTAAGCGAGTGTTTTATCATCTAGGCTTTCAGGAGCTCTGAGATAAGAGTCACAAAGGTGTTCAGGTGCCTAAACTCCCACTGAGACACCTGGTCTACATTCACATCTCTAGCAACAACAGCAGCAGCAGCTTAAAGAGCCCGTATCTCCGGCCATTTTTCCTGCCCCCACACGCATTTTCTATGCTACATTGCAAACATGATCAGAGAGCTCATGTAGCGAAAATAGCCCACCCTTCCTGACCAATTTTTTTTTTTTTTTTTTTTAAACTCTGATTACTGTCCCAATTTTGTTGACCACGCAGCCACGTAAACAGGTGTGCTGGCATAATAGGGGAGAAGTGGGAGAGATGGGCAAGAGCCGTGCAATCTAGTTGAAACAGCACTGGCACTAAACATGAAACCCCAGCAAGAGAAATCAGGTGCCTGAATAGGACTAGCTGCATGTCCTTCAGGTACCTGGCCTTGTGATGCCTTGCCGTTCACTTACCTTGTCAGCAAATACATTTACCACTAGTTAGCGACAGGCAGATAATTCTGCTTATTTATTTAATATAAAAAATATTTATTTAATACAAAAACTCCAGGAAGACTGACTATGAAGACTCCAGGAAGTTCTTCTTCACAGCCAGAATCTTTTGCAGTCAACATCCCTTAAATGTTTATGATTTTCCAGGAGTATATATGCTCTGTATCTGTGTCTTTCTCCTCTTAATTTTCCTTTTTGTTGCTTTTGTTACTTTTCCTTCCTATCATCTTATTTATAAACTTTCATTTAAAATAATATTTTATTATTAGTAAAGCTTTATTGTGATAGCTCAAACTTGTAAGTGGTCCTGGATACACCTTTATTTTATTAATAAACACTTCTATTGTATATAAACACAATTGGCTGTGCTGTCTTCACTGACAGGTGGCATTGCAGCCATCAACCTCAAAACAAAAGCTTTAACTTAAATGTATGCTATCCCAAAGAGACTTGCTTATAAAATTTAACAATACAAATGTGAATTATGCAAGAAGTAATTCTATGAGGGAACTTTGGACTTTACACCTCCTATAGAAAGCAAAGGAAAGTAAAGGTCATTTTGTTACCATGATGTTTGGCACATTCTGCTTTTCCATTGTTCAGAAACACGTGCAGCTTGTGGTCTGAAAAATCTCGTCTTGGTTTACTCTGTTTTGTTACTGTCAAGTCACACAAGCGAGAGAGACAAATTAGCCTATTAGTTTTGATGTTGACATTATCCAGAAGTGGGACGTCCGTATGTTTTATATGTTCATAGGTGTGAATTGGCAGAAAATTTGAAATTATGCTAATGAGCTCCTGTGACTTTTTTTTTTTAGTCAAATGATTATGTCAATGCCACTTGAAATGAATATGCATTTTGGAAACTATAGGGAAAAAATGAGAGTAGCTGGGGAACAAAACATCTGTATAAAACATATTACTGATGATGAGACCAGCTGACCTTTAAGAAGTGGTCTCTGGGAAGAGATGTCATCACAGTGTAATTGCATCACTTAAGACTTGCAGGAAGTCCCTGTGGGGATGGAGACACTGAAACTCACTGCTGATAAATCTCAGAATTTTTTCCTTTTACTAACCCATTCATTCAAGCAGGCCTTGGTACCTGAATTTATGTCATCCAGAGCATTCAGTTTAGAACATTTCTCATGTGTTTGTTTAACTTGGGTTTTTTCTTTTACCTTTAGGTGGGAGATTATGCCTGAATTTCCCCAAGAGAGAAGTTCCATCAGTTTAGTCACCTTAAGCGGAGCTTTGTATGCTATTGGAGGCTTTGCAATGATTCAGCTTGAATCTAAAGAATTTGCACCCAGTGAAGTCACTGACATATGGAAGTAAGTTTGATTTTAATCACCTTTCCTGGTGGAAAGCTGTATCAAAAATTGAGGTTTGTAGACACTGGAGAGTAAAATTAGCTTTCTGTTTAACTCTGGAAATGAATCATGGCACAGGTTGTAAAGCACTTGTTGACAGAAATATTTGTCAGAAGAAAGTAACAAATAAACATGAGACTTGGATCTAATGACTACTTCTACCTACTAATAATTTGAACAGTCTGAGCCATGATCTTCAGATTTTTTTACTCTTTTAAAGAGTAAGTTGCCATATCTCTTGGCAGGTTTAGCCTTGTAAGTGTACCATAAAAACATTCTCTGTTTCGTGACATTCTTACGCAGAAAAGCCTGTATATACAGAGGTTTGTGCATATTCATGTGTTAATAGTCAAATGAGTAATTGCTCCCAGAGAATCAGAAATCCCTATCTCCTAGATTTTTTTTTAATCTAAATCACGGTAGCAGTGATGAAACATCACATCTTTGCTGTGACTCTTCAGTTGCTAAAGTAAATTCAGGAGTTTTAACTGGCAGAAGGATAGGAAGGATTCCCAGGATAAAAGGGATACTTAAGACAAGGAGGAAGCTTTTATAGGAATAATTAAAAGTATGACACAGGCCAGCAACAATCTTTAGGGACCAGGAAAAGGAGAACCCACATGTGCAAGAACATCTTTCTGTTCTGTTCTGGAGGACAAAAGCAGCCCTTTTGTGGCATCCTTCAGGACATGGTTGCTACAAGCTTTTGCAACACATGGACTATCCTCCTTTTCATGTATGTGTGATGAAGCATCAAACTCAAATTTTAAGAAGCTATGTTCTGACCTTATTTTGTTAAATGCAGGTATGATGATGAAAAGAAGGAATGGATTGGCATACTGAAAGAGATCCGATACGCTACTGGAGCCTCCTGCCTGGCTACACGCTTAAACCTCTTCAAGTTATCAAAACTGTAAATAAAATGCTGGAAGATGTGATACGGTGAGGGAGTTTCGATAGGCTCTTCTGGTTTTGTTGCATGAAAATGTCCCCAAATTGTACAGAGTTTTGTAGCAGCATACTAGTTATACTGTTAGCTGGTAAACAGTTCATCCGTCTGTCCAAGTCTTAAGATATTTACTACCTAACCAACAACTGAATTTTTGCCAGCATTTAAAATGCTGAAGAATTCTAATTGATGTTGATTAGAATAAATGAAGATTTCAGAGAGAACTCCATTTTTCACTCTGTGAAATTGCCAATAAAACTAGTTAGACTTCCTTACACTCAGACAATCCAGGATATTGGTGGCTTATACTCCAAACAATGCCCATAAATTAATTTTTAAGTTAAATACAACTAGTAGGTAGGTAATTTTATTTTAACTGGCTGCTTGTACAGCCTGATTTCCCCCTTCAGCAATGTATGTAAATCCTGCATTCTTCAGCCATGTCTTGAAATATTTTCATTAGAGCCTTCTAAAAATAATTTAGCCTGGAATTGAAGTGCATATTGAAAACAAAAGTGGCCTAAGAAATGCCAGTCTCAGCCAAAGCTGTACTAATAGCCAGACATGAGGAAAGAGAGAGAAGTTCACAAGGTTAATAGCTCTGCTGTTTCACCTACTATGTTTAGGCTTCTGGTAACAAGGATTTTCCACTTTTTTATGCTTTTATATTTATTTCCAAAGCAAATATTTTATGGAAGCTTTTCTCAGAGATCTGAGGCCATTAACAAGCATTCATGAAAAAGTCCTAGAAGAATTGATCATTAGCAAATACCTATAGCAGAGAGGACTTTTCCATCTAATAAAGAGTTGATGCATTTTGATGTTGAGACTTTTAACAATTAAACTTTGTTTTTAAAACTATAAAAGTATCACTTGATGGTGTCTCTTTTAGTGATCAGCTCATCATCATATTGACAGGACACATTCTTAGTACAGCCTTTGCCCAAAACAGAGCACACAGTTTTCTTAAAGTAGAGCATGCCCACCATTTTTATAGAGTATCTCTTCAAAGGATTTCTCCACTGAGTGAAGAGGGTGTCATAAATCTAAAGGATGTCATAACTCTAAATCTAATTACAACTGATATAGCAGGAAAACTGGAAAAGAAGCCCATCACACCTCACCGAATAGCAATTCCAACTATCAAATGACCCCTTGCTTTGCCTTCCTAGGAGACGGAGGCAAACATATGGCGAAGGCACAGCCATCATAGCTCATTTCAGTACGTTACTGTACACCAGTATTTAATCTGTGGGACATCTTTTCTGTTTTCCCCTTTAGTACCCAAATCTTCAGCTGTTCTTAGCATCTTTTCATTGGCTCCAGTTAAATCACTGGTTTACATCAGCCCATCTGCTCTAACACTTGCTGATTTAATTTAGAAAGAATGACTGCAAAGGACCAAAAGCAGCACTTTTTACTGAAATACTCTTTTATTTTGCTTTTCTTAGATGCCTTTTCTGAATCCACTCATAGCAAGTTTTAATCCTCTTCCCATTGTGAATACTCATAACTTTATCCATATATAACTTGAAGATACCTGGCTTGGCACAAAGTGACTGCCGGCTACCTGAAAAGCAGGGCTCAGCTCAAACACATGACCACCCATGACTGATCACTTCAGCTACAGCCACTGCCACCTTTCTTACGCTCCAAGGTTGCTACTTGAAGGCCATCTGTACAGACACAGGGTCATGCAAGAGCCCTCCGACGTGTAGCCCACCTTCTGAGATCCTAACCTATATTTATGATTGTCTTCTCCATTTTATACGAAGTATAATGTGCATATAGTCTTTCTATGTGCTGTGCCTTCAGTGACACTTCCTCAAAGCACTTCTACGTCTTGGAGCCCTTGTCTGTTTGACACCATAAGCAGACAATCATCTACTAGTTTTTTCAGTCATCCCACAAACATGAGGGCTGCCTCAGGAAGAAAGCACCTTGCAGCTTAGATCAGTTCTGTCGGTTTTTCTTGGCTTTTCACTAGTGCCCTGATTTGTATTCAGCCAACAAAAAAATTTTCTTCTACTCCTAAGTAGTAAAAAAAAAAATTGACAGCCAGGTGCATAATGGTCAGTGCAGAAATGCAGTTGCTTACCTCTGCCAGGTTTCAAAGGAAGTGGTAAAAATAATGTCTATTGCTTTTATTAAAAAGGCAAGAAAACATATACACGTATGTGTGAAAGAGATGGGCACAGCTAGCAGTTGTCATGAGGTAACGGCAGCTGTAGTCACAACATGGCTGCCTCTGAAAATGGGCTGATTTGCAGAAGTATGACCAGTCTACAGTTACTGCTCTACAATGAACATTCTTCTGGCTATTCCACTTTTTCCTTCTACGTCTCAGTATCTTATGCCTCCTGACACAAACCCTGGCTAAGCGCAATCACAGGAAGCCTGAACCAATTGGCAGATGTTTTTGAATCATGATAAATAAATTAAAAATGCTTTTCACCACCAGTAGTAACCAAGGTGGTCGTCACTCTCTGAAGACTTTTATTGGTCCTGATTCTTGGTTTCAATTTTCAGCCTAATTTTGCTTTTTTTCACACTGTCTTATTTACAGAACAGGCAGGTTAGATGGTTTGTCTACTTTTGTTTTATTTCTATTAGCAAGGGCTAGTCTAATGCATAATGCCATAATAATAAATTTCATTAATTATCCAGTTGCTAGTAAGTGCCTATGTCTGACATAAGCATTATTTTCTCCTTATCTTGTATAAATCTTTCAGGTATCCCTTCCAAGGTGCATTTAACTGGAGTACAGGTGTTTCAAAGGTCTGGGTGGCTGCCAGATCTCTAGAACTAGTCTACCTTTTAAGTACGTGAAGGTGTTCCAGAAAGCTCAAGCCATACTTCTAAACACGCCACATCACAGTGTAGGAGAAGCAGCTGGAGGTTCCTCACCGCACGACACCCTCCCCCAACACAGTCACCCACAGTACCTCTGTTTTGGAAGACGGAAACAGAATGGCTGTAACAGCAGTCCTATTCTTAGTAAATCTGCATTTCGGTTTCTTGGTTTCATAGTACAGATACTGTTCGATCCCCATTGCTCATTCTGTCACATGCTGGAGGACAGACATAGTTTCCAGTACATCTGCTGCCTCCTCTCTCATAGTCAAGAGTATTTCCAACTTTTTCTTTGGATACTTTTATGTCTGGCTAAGCCTCTGTGCTATTTATTTAGGAGATAATAATGTAATTTTATGGCAAAACTGTCACAGATTCATTTACTTGAAGAATAGCTCCCAGATAATGGGAGATTTTAAGCATCCTTATCACATCTTCATGGCTCATTGTGACCTGCCTTTTACAATCCCTAACAAATTGAGGATTAAATCTCTTGACACCTGATGCCCATGGCAAGCCTTGGTCCAGCTGACTCACAGCTAAAGAGATTTTTCAAACTAAGAATTCCAGGATTACAAGAAGTTTAATGGTACATAAAGTGTTTCTGTAAAAAGTACTTTTGACTGCATGTCTGACATCACTGTATTCCATATAGATGCCTTCTCAGAAATTCTAGCTGTTCACCTTTTGTTGACAGAACCATAGAATTCCATTCAAAGTGAGGAATCTGTAGAACAGAATCATACAAACTGAGTGTTAACATTGATATAAGCCACATACCATCTTACAGCAAAGAAAAGGCTCTCTGATATCTGTTGTTGTCCACTTGAAGCTATTTTATCACCTGTGTCCTTCTAAAAGCTAGGCTTATTCTAATACTGAAAAGATTAATTTCTCAGTGTAAGATTCTGCTTCATGTAAGTATAGTCAGTTTGCTTCCAAAAAGCAGCATAGTTGCAGAGATGTAAAGCAGATACCCACACTTTATGGCTATGACAACTCCATTACACCATCTCCCACCTTTTGAAACCCAAATCAAGAGAAAAATCCCAGGTTACTGTAGTTTGTAATGTTAATGTACCAAACTGGGACAGTGTATCAGTAGTGTAACATTTACTGTCAGGGCAATATGAGAAAGGATTATTATCCTGTTAAAAAACAACCCCAAACTTAAGCTTAAAGAAGGATTCTAGTTAAAATTAGAGTAGGTAAGTAATTATATATATAGGAGAATCTGCATTCATGAGCCTCTATTACCCAAATATTTCTATGCTGGTCTAGGCTGTGAATTATCTCTGGCCACTAGTCTTCCCTGTCACAGCACTATCACTGCAGCAGACAGACAGCATTCATATCCCATCTTGCAGCTGCTGTAACTGTCTCTCTATCACTCAAGGAGGGTATGTTCAATCTTTTTCTAGTGTGGAAATCTTTGGTGAATTGAAATGAAACTCTCGTTTCACTTTTTCTCCTTTAATCAAGCTACGTCGAGATTGCTAGTTTGCCTGCAGTAAGGTAAGACAGATCTTTTGACTTCAGTTTTGCTGCAGCCAGTGTCAGAGAAGGTGCAAGTTCTATGAAATCCTTACATCATCTTGAGAACAGCTTGGAATTTCCCCCCCAAATACAAAAATTGCTCTCACCCAGTAGGTACTTTAAACTATTAAAACTACCTTTAAATCTATTGCAAGGAAAATGTATCAATCTGCACTATTGATACAACTCAGAAAGGACATAAAATGTTGTTGATTGCTCACCTGAACTACCCGGTACCCCAGCATTTCCAGGTGTCGTTTTTTCACTGCAGGTTCTCCTTTCAGGTGACGTGAATCTTTGCTAAAGTCTTTTGAATCAAGAAATTCCAAAGCAATTCTGCAAACAATAAAAATGTGCATTTACTTTCAGGTCATTTCCAGGTGTCGTTTTTTCACTGCAGGTTCTCCTTTCAGGTGACGTGAATCTTTGCTAAAGTCTTTTGAATCAAGAAATTCCAAAGCAATTCTGCAAACAATAAAAATGTGCATTTACTTTCAGGTCCTACCTGAATAGCGAGAAGTGGTGTTTCTAGTTCAGTATTGATAGTTAGCAAGACTATTACCAGATAAACCTGACAATTCATAGAAAAAGAA